ATAGTCTTTTAACCTTGCATTAGATATTCCTTTTGGCTGCATCTTCGTTGGGTCGTTCAAATTGTGTTGTATATTCGGTGAACTTTTCTTCTTTGGCCTTGGCATTTCCCGGTAGTCTCTCCCATTTAATATGGTCTCCGATTCGATTGTTAGTTTCTTTAATGTTTCCGATACGTTTTTCTCAGCAAGTTCATTACCTTGCGTTAATATACTGATCCAAAAAGCAAATTTATGAACGTGTGTTTGATATATGAGTCCACTCGAACAAATTGATGACGTTTGTGAATTCTTCATATGTTTATACCCATAACTGTTATATATATATATATCCCTCTTTGCATGAACAGACCACCGCCCTAATATATTTATCAGAGATCTTTGTTATATTCTCATGATTAAGCACCCTTAGAGTGTGAGCACATAATAAACCAATCATTTCAAATTTTTTGCAACTGCGTGTAATTTCAGAATTACTTTTGTCGACCTTAACAATCTATGGTTTATCTGTGTGATCACTATCTAAGTTTCTAATGTAAAATTCTGAATCTCTGGTGTTTGAGCACTCTACGGCAAGTCCACACAAATCATGTAACAACTCTGCTTCAAATATTGAATATAACTTTCTCTTATAAGCTAAAGTACATTGCCTCAACACGAGACTACTTTTTACAACGGGAACAATTGCAGACTGTTCACATTTAAAATATTTATCATTCTCATTCATTTGCCAATATTTCACGACATTTTCAGGACCCAAGAAAATTTTAGTTAGTGTGCTTGTTGGCTTGAAGGCACCATGATAGATATTATTCGTGGGCTCACTTCTTTGCGTTGAAAAGATCTCCATCCCAAATATTTTGTTATTGAAGACTGTTGATCACTTATGTCTGATATTGTACAAACTATTCAACCAAACATTCTCGTATAGATTTCCTAACTCAATCATAGTACAACAGGTTTCTTCAAACTCTTCCTCGGAGTTGCATCTACCCATGTATTTATAAAAAAACTCATTGACTCTCTTAGTGCTCACACCACAATGAACCTTTGAAAACAATTTCTTGTGAATATGTCATTGACATAATCTATGTTTGGTGTGCGGAAGACAAACTTCAATAGCTCTGGTCATTATTTGATCTTAGTCAGTGAATATTGTTTTTCGGGTGTTTGTTATTCATTATCTAGATAAATGATTTGAATAGCCACTTGAATGGGTCAATTGTTTCATCTGACAAAAAACCCAACTCCAAATAGAACATTCTGTCAGTGGTGATTCACATGGGCAATTTGAGCATAACATAAATTATATTTATTTAGTCTATAACTTATATAAAATATTATGACATCCCCAAAGCAATTGTAATTAAGTATGGATATCCTATCACTCCAAAAGAAATTCAACAAATTACCAGACTCATCAATTTGGATGTCCCATGCAAACATCGTATTCTTAGCTTGCCTCTCAGTGAACAATCGTAGTATAGAATTAGCGTCCTCATGTTCAATTTTAACTTTTCTCTCTCTTTGTATGAAATTATAAACATCCCTCTTCGTGCAATCAAGATTTTCCATACCTCAAATTCTGTAGCCAGAAAACTAAATGCATTGCTTGTTCTAATTATTGATTGTGTCATCGATTTGAGCACTTCTGCATTGATATCACTTATCTTCCTGTTGGAATGCAATAAATGTTTGTCATCGTCCGTCGCCAAATGATGGTTATGACTATTTATAAATTTCTTAACCGACTAGTTACCTTCGACATTGACGATATATCAGATCATGGTTGGACAACCAGTCATTGTGTCCCCTCTGTTGTACTTCACCGTCATATTATTATTCAATTCTTTCTTGAAACCAGCCTTATCACAAATGAACTCCTTTGTCTTAATCATTTTTGAATTCGGCAAAAAACCAACATGGTCCTTTCGCACAATGAATCCAATTTGGTGTGCATATGCATAATATTGTTCATAGGATTTCTTCTTATTATGAACCACTGCGCGAAGCAAGCTTTCTGCAATTGGATCAATGCACACAGTTACAGGCTCGAGGAACTTCAAATTTCAACATATCACCATTAGAATGACAAAAATAACGCTTAAACAAAACAAATTAATAAATTCAATAAAACTAGCATGAAACGATACAAAAATAATACCATAATACATAATAACACCATAATAATACAAAAAAAATACCATAATAACACAAATATATAGTTCAAAGCTAATAATACGGAAATAATATCATAATACCACCATAATAACACTAATTACAATGACAACATAACACCAGTAAAATCATTAATTAAATCCAATAACACTAGTATAACCCCATGATAAAACCTAAAACCCCATGATAAAACCTAAATAATGATAAAACCTAAATAACACCCAACTACCCTTAAATAACACCCAAACTTTAATATTACCATAATATTGTCGAAATACGACTGGAATAAGCTATGTTTGATTAAAATATTTTGTCAGTTTATTATAGTTCGCGTTGAATAGTCTGCGTTGAATATAACCAAAATATTACCAAAACATTACCATGATACAACCATTACCAAAACTATAACACCATGATACAACCATTACCAAAACTATAACACCATGATAATACTTAAATAACACCACGTCCACCCTCTAACATAACAGTAACGTTGCAATCAAATAATATAGTAATCACACCAGAATAATTGCTAGTAAATACAAAGAAATAAGTTCACATGCGGAATGCTTTCGGCCGCAGCTAATAAACTCAACTCCTTGGCATCATTCTTGCAATTATTTTGTGATTCCTCAACATTTCTTGCTTAAGAGATAAATCCATCAGAAAAACCATAGCTGTCGAATACGAACACAAGTGCAAAAAGAAAATAATTCTTGAACCCTAAACCGGAATGAGACCAAATATTCTGTTTTTCAATTTGGCGGGATCCAAAATGACAAAATGATCTATTGGCGGGATAAGAAAGTGACAAATAGATGCTTTTTGGATGCTTGGACGAGGCTTGGGCTTGGTCGCGTTGTAAAAAAATTATTTTGCTTATTTTTTTGATAGTGGACCCACAATTCCACGTGTCCCTTTTTTATTCGCTACCAGTCTCTGGACTGAATAATTTTTCAGTGTAAAGGGTTTTGACTATGAGACACAACAAATTAAACTTTTGATGCGTTGAATGTGTAAATAGTAAAGTTTTTAAGTGTCATGTCCTTAAATCTCCCAAAAAATATCAATATTACTTATTTTTAAAAGTGAAATGTACTTTTTCATGTATAGAATTATGTAACAAAAATGTTATAAATCTAACTATAAAAGTTTATATGTTAGATGTATAAATACATAAAAAATATGCGGTACATATATAAATTATCCTAAAATTAAATTTAAAAATAGCAATTGCGTTAAATTACATGATTGATCCAATGAAGATATTGTTTTGAGGAATGTTTGATTGTAAGGAGGATTTAGTTTAAATAAGATTAGTTAATTCTACAAATTTGGATTTATAAAATCTTGATGTGATTAAATCCTGAAGACTGTTTGACATGTTAGTAATTAAATCTGATAAATCTCAAGAATATTTTATCTTTTTTAACGGATTTTGTAAGATTTATCAAGATTTATTAAATATCCAAAGATAAATTTTAAATAAAAAAAATATAAATCAGTATCCAAAGCCTCAAAATGTATAAAAAATGTCATTTACATTAATTAATAATTAGTTTTATAAATTAATAATTATTTTTTAAACTAATGCTTTATGAATCAATAAATTAATATTAATAAATTATTACTTATATAAATTAAAATAATTTAAAATTTTATTAAGTAATTTAAATTTTAAATATAGTTTTATTTATTAATTAACTGTAAATGATTACAATTAGTTTGATAAAATATAAATTATTTATTAATTATTAATCAATTAAAATAATAAAAGTTAAATAAATATAAATTAAAACCACAATCCTATTTCCCTCTCGCTGTTTTTCCTGCTTGAAACCCTCTTCGGCATCCTCCCCCTCTACCATTTTGCCCTAACTTTGAAAAATTATTGCATGCAGACACCACACACAAATTTTGCGTGCGGTATCCAATCAGGACTAGGGGTGTAAATGAACCAAACACGAACGAACAAAGCTCGTGTTCGATTCGTGTTCGATTCGTTTCGATTCGTTTGAAATTAAATGTGTTTGAAATAGACTCGTGTTTGAAATTGTTCGTGACGTTGCTGTTCGTGTTCGGTTTGATTTGTTTGAAATATATTTGAAAATTTTAAAATTTTTAAAATGTTCGAATTGTTCAAAATTTTACAATTATTTGTATAGTTCGAATTATTTGAAATCTTTCAAAAGTTTAAACTTGTATGAAATTAATGCTTAAATATATATATGAATCACAACTCTAATGCACAATAGCTAAAGCACGGCTCGCAATAAAATCATAATATCATATCACACCAATAAAAAATTCAAATATAGAGATAATATGCAAGATTTCACTCCCAAAAACTTCAAAAACTATGTTACACTCAAAGAAACTAAATAAATCTAAAAAAAAATAAAGTTAAGAGACGAACCTGAAGATATATATGAAATTATGTGATTTAATATAAGCTAAGAAGAGAATCTGAAGATCATATTATAATTTATAAGATTTAATTTTTTAAAATATGATAAATTTTTAGAGTATATAATTATTTTTAAAATATGATAAAATTTTTATTTATAATTATTTAAATTATTTTATATTTTGAACAATAACGATTTAAACACGATCGAACAAATGAATGTTCGCATTTGGCTCGTTATAAATCAAGCGAAAAAAAATTTTCGTGTTTGTTTCGTTTGTTTGTCAAATGAATCAAACACGAACTTTCTGATGATAACACGATCGCACTGTTGCGAATAACAAAATTTTTTTTGACAGGTTGTAAAAAAATTAGAATGACCCTAATAATAAAGAAAACATAAAGATTTATTTCAGTATTCACGTCGGCTCCCGAACTTCACATCTCTGCACAAAACCCTCGCTTTTTGTCACTCCCACTGGTTTCGCCCAAAACCATCGCCTTCCTGAGCGAAAACCTTTGCGATACAGTCCATTAGAGCTAGTTGGGAAGGAAACGACTGGATCGCGGCTTATAGAAAGCACCGAAACTCCCATCTTTCTCATCCTTCCTCTCCGCCCCTACCAGAAACCATTGAGAAAGGTAAGCCTATTCGCGCCATTCTTCCTATTGGCTCGTTCTGGGTTCACTAATTCCTGTGAGTTGGATTTACTAAATCCACCGATTAACAGGATTCAGTAAATCCCGTATTTTTTACGAATCGGCCTCATTTTGAGATTTACGGGAGCTCAGGACTTACGGAGTCAATTTTTGTCGTTTTGAAGGATTCAGCTTAAATCCTGCATAAATCCTGCTTAAAACCGGCTACCAAAGAGCCCCTAAGAGTTGGCGATTTCAGATGGAGGATCTGAAGTTTGCGTTAAAGGGGCACGCAGATCTCCTCGCGGATCTTCTTGAGAGGGTCTCCGCTGAGCTACATAGCGGGTTCCAACCCGCCATCGACAACTTTGTTGGGTTCTTCCACGCCATCGATTGGAAGGCGAGTGCTCTCTTCTTCTTGTTCTCTCATATTTGCATTGTTATTAGTTCAGTAGGGTTTCATTGTGATGCAAGCCCAAAACCAGTAAATGCAATAAAGAAATTAAATGCAAATACAAGATAACTAAGCAAAAGAGGGATTGTACCAAAGCTAATTGCCTTCTACATCTTTACTGGCCCTAATATTCCACATGAGATGTTCACAGACTTTTAAGTGTAACCCATTCAAAATTCTAATTACGATCTAGAAGTCCAGCTATCTAATGACCACGAATTTACCTGTTAAAATTTTTTTCTTACATTGCCCGCCCATTCACAAGGACCTTGCTCTCAAGGTTGAGCTGATCGTGGTGAGATCAAGTGGATGTAGATGTATTCAGCACTTGCAAGCTCAGGCGGCTCAGTGTTAATTTTGGATCTGTAGATGGTGTCAGATCCAGCAATGATGGGAATGATGGGAGTGGATTTGAGCTACATATGGGATGCTGAGGCTGTTAGAAATCCAGGTAATCTTGGGAAAACTGTGCTGGTTTAGGTTTTTTGACAAAAGCGACGACATTGAGTCTCTGCAGGTTGGATTGGAAGTGGGAGTATTGACGTGGTTCCGGCAACTACGTGCCTCGATTGGGGTGGGTGTAGTGCAGCGAGCATTCAATGAGGCATCAAGATTGTGCTTGGAGTTGTGGCGGATGGAAATTGTGACTCGGTGATCTTGGAGATGGAGTTGGATCTAGAGCGGTGAATGGGAATTTGGGGGATAAAACCTGGTGTAGAGGCTAGATTGAGGGGAATTGATTAAATGTAGTGCATGTTGGATGCAGAGTGGTAAATTGGAATTCAAGAAACAAACTGGGTGTAGAGGCTAGGTTGAGGGGAGTTGATCAAATCTGCCGCATGAAACACGACCGGGGATGGATTTAGTGCATAATAGGTGCATCTGTGCAACAATGATTTGAAGATGGTGAATTTGAATTGGGGTCTGGGTGACACTAGGTAAAAAGCTCAACAAGAGTACTATTTTTTACAAACCTAAAACTAGTAAATGTAGAAATAATAGCAAATACAAGATAAATTGGCAATTTAATCTTGCCTAAAAATCTTGGTTTTTGATGGTAGAGAAAGGATGGCCATTAGTTAGGAGGATGCCCATAAGTCCTTATACTTTTTTTTTATTGGTTGGGGGGAGGAGGGGACAAGAGTCGAGGCAAAGCTCATTGTCTTTGACATTCTTGCTTGAGCTAGTACTCTACATGAGGAGTCTTATGGACTCCTAAAAACTCCCATGACCCGATAACACAATTAGTAACAACCTATAAGCCTAGCTACCTAATATATATTTCATTACCTATTATATATATTCCCTATCACATTGCCTTCTTAACAAATGATACTCCAATGAATTATTTTTCATTTGTAATCCAAAAAGTTAATATGGGCTTTTCATGGTAAATGTTAGGATTCCTTTTTGTAGGGATTGAAAGAAAATGAAGAGTTATTTAGAAGAAAATGAGGTTTGGAGTAGATTATGTAATTGTGGGGGACATATGTTATTATCTTAGTTTTGGCTTGTAGAGTGAATCTCTTAGAAGTGTAATTTTTTTTTTAGAATAGGTTTCCTCTTGTTATGTGCGCATTATTTCTAAGGAGGTGAAGAATTAATGGGTTCCATCTAATTGCTATTGAGGTTGGGATGTAGTTAACGTATTGTTGAACTTCATTTCTCTTATGATGGTGTACTTTTATCAACTGTATTCTTTAGGCCAATTTATTGAGAGTTTGGATATCTTCTCCCTAATAATTTTCTGATGGCAGATTTTAAATGCATCATCCATATTTGGTGGATAATAAGTATCTAATTCCCCATGTGAAGACCATAGTGTTCTGTATATTTTTTCTTTTTCTTGATTTCCCTTGTCCAATTAGTTAAAAAATAATAGGAGTAGCATCACATTGACATGCATTCTATTAGGATAGTTTTTTTCAAACTAGCAAACTATTAGCACATAAATCACATAATTGAATTCAGAAGATTTATAGGTTTGAAATTGTATCTTTTTGGTGGTTGCAAACTTTTAGCCTTTACAGTCATTGTATCCTCATCGGACCCCTTTGGCAGAGTTACTAGCATTGATCCCTAAAAAGAGGCGTGCAAATCCACAGAACTAACCACCAAGTTTTTCTTGTTTCTCTATCAAAAACTTTTGCATGGAAGCACATGACTAAGAGAAGAAAACTATGAAGGTACTCAATCGACATGTCTTGATCTATCCAATTAGTGATGGTTTAAATGAATGGAAAGTAGGTAGAATAAAGAGCAAAATACATGGAAGCACAATGATTTGATCGTTAAAACCAAAATTATGGGCAACCATGTTTGAAAGAGAGTCGTATAGGATTTTTTATAGGTGGTGAAGGAATTTAATCTTCAAATTTAATAATCTCCCTTGGAGATTAAATTTTATTGATTTATTGTCATCACCGTATCAACTATGTATGGCACCTTGAAGAGCATCGTAGGCTCTCGGATGCAGGAATGGCTTAAAGTTGTGGTGATCATTTCCAAAAGGCTACTCCTTCATGTGTGCGTTCTTTTGTTCCTCATTCTCTCCTGTAGCAAAGCTTTTAACCCTTTTATTCTTTAAGAAAATGTTGTTCTAAAAAAAGTTATTTTAACTGAAGTAACACTATTGGAGTTACAACCTGCTATACGTATAGTCCACAAACTTCATTTGCCTTTGTGTTAACCAATACTCCCTTGCAAATCTTGAAAATTTTAACATCTTCAAAAAATCTATATCTTTCATCATTGAGAGCACTCAACAACAACAACAAGCCTTTATCCCACTAAGTGGGGTCGGCCGCATGAATGTTTTTTATCCACTCCATCCTATTGAGAGCACTCAAAATTATTAAATTCTTTTTCAGATTTGCTAGATACTTTGCTTCAACCAATCTTTTAGTGACAACATCTTCCACCTTTACCTCATTGTGCCAACACCGATCCTATTGCATGTCATATTGTTTCTTACATAGACAACCACGACGTCTCAAGTGAACATTTCCTTATATGGACACACATGAAATGAACAACCTAAATCCAAGATCTACTGCTCTTTGCTGCCAACTCCTTCAATCACCAAAAAAGGATAACCAATATAACAACTACTACAACCTGTAGCAACACTATTATTCTTTGACTTTTATCTATGTATTTTTTTTTCCCCATCCTATTATCACAATCTTTCTTTATGTGTTTATTCTTCTTATAGTAGAAGCAATTTATATCCTTAAACATTCCTCAAAGGTATGCTTTTCATGATTAGAAGTAGATCCCTTCACTAAAAATCCCCACCTTAACTAATAATCCCTCATATGGCTTTTCCATCTTCATGTCTTTCAAGTTTAGAATTGACATCTTTAAAAAAATAAATTTTTGATATACTTGACATTAATCGTATGTCTCCCCAATTACATGGTGTAAAAAAAATTGCTTTTAAGAGGGAGATGAAGAGCACAATATTATTAAAACCAAATCTATGTCTTTCTAAAGTACATCAATATTTTTCAAATTTTCAAATGATAGAATTTAACTCATTTTAATATGGTTTAATAGACATACATTTTTTCATGCGGGAAAAAATAGTCTTTACATTTGATGTTGTTTTTTTTAGAGGTTTTTTAACACATATTAATAGTCGAGCTTATGTTATAAGTCATTTGTGATTTTTTCTTCTATGACCTTCATTAAGAGCTCATCCACGAAATACAACAGAATCACTTAGAGAGTTTTTTCAATCATCTCTCATGTCTCTTTCTCCCTATGGTTTTAGGATGTCATATGGGTGCTTTCACAATTCTTTCTACTAGAACATCAAACTTCTTTTTCTTTTTAAGGAACTTTTTGATCTTAAACTTTATGGTTATCATAATCTTGATAAACCTTCACTTTTATGTTATGGTTGCATCAATACAGGAGTAAGTACAATAAGTTACAAGATAATGGTAAAAGAGATCAAGCAAAAATAAAATCTATAATCTAATTTGTTATGCTTAACTAAGCTTACGTTCATAGTTGCGTAGAGTGATGTTGCTTCCCTAGATCTAAATTTAAGTACAATATTGTTTTTAATTTTATTACCGAGCACTATAGTTAGTTTTAGCTTTTGCAAGTATTCGTTTGATGAAGGATTAAAACAAAATTATAATATTATAAATAAATAGAGGTCTCTCAACAATTTTATGTGGTTTTGAGAGTATCATATTTATTTTATTTAGTCCCTACAATATACAAAATTAATTCAAATTGATCCTTAGATGCTAAATTGGGATTAATTTTGTTTAGTCCAGGGGCTAAATTGAGATTAGTTTTATATCATCATTCCTTTAAGAGTGATCATTTTGGTTCAATTTTTGTATAATTAAGACTAAATTAGAGAATTATGATATTCTATGACTAAAGTAGCCACATGCATATAGTTAGAGGAATATTTTAATATTTAGGTTTCTAAATATAATCTATACTACTTCCTTATTTACTGTGATGATTCAACCCAAAGTTTTGGAATTATCAAGATATGAATAGATGATCGGATAGTGAAAGTTGTTAGCTACTAATATTAACCAATGGTAAACAATTATTCACTCAATTGAATGAATCACTAGCGAATAAAACTTCAATTCAACTTAAAGGTAAAATAATTGTATATGAAATTACATTTCTCTATTTTGGTTGTCTATAAATATTTTCAGTCATCTCACTCTTTTTTTTAGTTCAAATTTTAAACATGAAAATACTTATATTTCTAAATTACAATAGTGTTAAAAAAATAACTTCATATTTTTCAAACATAATCGATGAGTTTACAAATAATTGACAATTTATTATTTAATTATAGCTATTAAAGAAGGTTCAAAACATTCTATCTTACAATATTTAGGTGTTTGATATGTTAAATATGTATGTAATTCTTCCAAAATTCTTACCTCTTCTATCCTTCTATTTTTATTTTTTGTAACTTTGGTTTTTTTTTTTGTATTTAAAAAATTTGCCTTTATTAAAAATAGTTTGGTGAATTTAATTATTTCTTAATTTAATAATACAAGAAAAATTATTTACCTTATTTAAATTAACTTATAATTTTCGTTCTATTTAATAACAATCAATATTGAGCTTTAAAACTTATATATATATAAATATTAGAATAATATTATTTACTTATTATTTAATTAGTTAGAGCCGAACACAATCAAACAAAAATTTATTTGTGTTCGGCTTGTTTGTGAATCGAGCTCAAAAGATTTGTTCATGTTTGACTCATTTTCATAATGAATGAATCGAACACGAGTAGCTTAGTGTACCGAACACGAGTTGTTCATGAATGATGAGTTGTTTTGACAACTCTAATTGCCGGCCAAGCATGATGAGAAATTAGCATTTGCTCAAATTTTGTTGTCATTCGCCTCTCTTAAAATCCATTTCTTGACCGTAGAGAGAGACACACACACACACATGGCTTTTCTTCTTTTTGAAGTTTTTTTGGTGCAAGCTTCAATATATCATTGTGATTTACATAAAACCTAAAAAATTGGAATTTACGTATTCAATATCTCAAGCTTCATTTTTACATGCAAAGCACTCTCTGTTATATTTCATTCTTGTGATATGCTCTCCGTCACCCACCATCTTCGATGCTTGAGCCACATCCTAAGCGACCGCGCCATCGATGCAACGATGGGATCACGACGAACAAATACCTACAACTTTTGCCCTGCTCCTATCCGAAACCATTGAGTTAGGTAGGTAACCCGTGTTTTTTTCTCCTACTTTCTCCTACACGAGGTCTTTGCGCACTTCATTGTCCTAATTTCTTTGGATTTTAGGCAAAGCAGAGGCTTCATCTTACTAATTCTCCTGGATTTCAGGCAAAGGGAAGGAAATATGGGATTTAAGTGTCATTTTCGCTGATTGAAAAGAGGAGAAATGAGATTTAAGATCCTGCACTTTGAATTAGTCATAGATTTTTAAATTAGTTAATCTGTAAATTTTAAAATTTCTTTTCACATCCCCTAGCCTCTTCGTTTCTTTTTCACCCTCACCGAAGGTGTAGAATGTATAGACGACGATATCCAATATAATTTGTCAAGTCAGTGACTTCATACCGTTCGAGGCGACAACATAGCAGGAGGCTGGAAATTTCAGCGAGGGGCTGAGTTCGGCATGGGCGGAGTCGCCGGACTTGTTGGACTCCTTGGTTGTGATTATTTCTTCCTTGAGTTCGGTGACGATAGCACAAAAGAACCCATGATGGGGAGTGCAACGAGAAAATAGACTTAATGAAGAGGACAATGTGCATGTAAATATGAAATTTCAGGTGCTGAATGTGTAAATTCCAAACTTTCAAGTGCTATATATGTAAAGGCCCCCTTTTTTCTAAGTGTCTTTGGTAAGGTCTTAATGTTATCCTTGTGTTCTTGGGTTATATCTATATCCATTGATCCTCGTTCAAAATGGACAAGGAAATAGATGATGATGTTAGATGATACATATTCCTTGATCCATCCTGTTGGTGATGATTTATACGGATGAGAAGTACATAGAGCCAAGAGCAAAATATGTAAAAGCAAGAAGATTAATAGCTGATATTGTTAAAGCTAAATTTTAAACCAAATTTGTTAGCAGCTACATTGGAACAAAACTCATCTAGAAATTTTCAGGGATAATGTTGGAAATTTAATCTTCAAAGTTAACCGCATTTACTTTTCATAAGCACTATCTTTTGCCTTGTTAAAGCTAAATTTGAAACCAAATTTGTTAGCACCCACATTTGAACAAAACCCATCTAGAATTTTTCAAGTATAATGTTAGAAATTTAATCTTCAAAGTTAACTGCATTTACTTTTCATGGGCACTATCTTTTGCCTTTTTTGCCTATCAAAAATCTTTCATAGAAATTACTACAATTAACTTACCCACATTTGTTTTTTGGTGTGTGTTACAGGAGTGGTTCTGCTTTGTGGTTCTTGTTTGTGAAAATACTAATTTCCTTTAATTTCACTATGTTGACTTTGCTATTTTTATGAATATGCTTTTATATTAGAGTCAATCATAGTAGTTCATCCAACTTTTGTATTGACAGGAACCGTGGTTGCTATGCTTATTATTGTTCCACTTTACTTTACTGGTGATGGTTTTTATATCAAGGAAGAGAATCAATTTCCAACTTGGCCTATCTATTTTTGCATGTGAGGTTTCTCTAGTTCATCATCTCTAATGTTTACCTTTTATGATATTTCTTTACCCCCAAAAAAAAAAAAAGGTATTATCCTTCTCATACTTGTTGATGTTTACATCGTATGATACTTATGTTAGTAAAAATTAATTCCATTTTTATAGGCTTAGCGCTTCAATAATGCTAGATTCCAATTTCCATGATTATCAAATCCTGTTAGCATATTTTTGGTACATTCAAGAGGCTACATTTCCAAGATTAAATGTACAAACTAGGATAGAAGTCATTGGCTAGACTCTAAATAGTGGCATTCACATAAATACCACACAATTCTGATGTATTTAGTATATAACAACTAAATCTTAATATTTACATGCACAACACTTCGATCTTTGAAATTACATAAAAAACTACTATTAACAACTTTTTGTAAGTGAAAAGCAACTTTTCATTTCATGCATAGGTTTATGACATGAAAGTGCTATAAATGTAAGTACATATAAATTGTGCGGTCTATGTAAATTTCCTCTTAAATATTTCGTTCATGTAATGTTATTTTTAATTTCATGTTCTTATTGTCCTTATACTGTCCTGGTGAAGTATCGGCTTTTGGCTTTGTAGAGTTTGGTAGTGATACACATGGTTAGGACGCTAAGGTTTCAAAACTACAAGAAGGCTCTCCGACGAGATGAAACCTTGAGAATTTCTCTTTTATCTGAGCCAAATCCTTAAAGATTGTTATGCCTTGGCATCTGAAGTTCCAGTTCATCCGGAACATTTTATTTATTGAGATCGTTTCAACTGATGCCAATGGGTTAGGTCCTTAGACTATGATGGAACCTTGCAACATAATGAGCTTGAATTTATGTTGAAGAGAGTTTGCTAATTTTCAAAATGATTATGCGTTTTTTCTTTGTAATATATCTACTTGTTTAATGCAATAAATTATTATGTCTATGCTAATCAAGGAAGTTCACTTAACTATAATTAAAAACTTTTTTTTAAAAGCGTGGCATGGGATTTACTGTATTATTCTTCTTAATTAATTATCTAAAATATACTTTTTTTTCAAATACTTTCTCTACGTAAAAAGACATTAAGAGGCTATACTATATATTTCAGTAAAATGCAATATATTCTATTGAACTTATGTTGAAATATATCTATGGTTAATTATACCACCTCTCTAACTACATGATGATAAAATTTATCTCTAAATTACATATAGCTGTATCTAGAGAGAGGGAGGAGAGAAGTAGGTGATGCAAAGGGAGAGAGAGAGATAGGAACCTGTTGTATATGTTAATATGTATAGATAAGTTTTGACCTCTCTTTTGGCATGGTGAAATCTTCTAACTTGGATTTTAGATTTTTGATAGTTGGCTTATTGCATAAACACTATTCTTGTAGACACCACCTGAGCACTCATCTTCTTTTGGTATTTTATGTGCATTTCTCAAGATGTCGCTTCTTTTGCTAGCTTGGCCCAAGCAGCCTTCTTCTTGGCAACTCCTTGCAGTTGCTCTATTCTTTTCTACATGTGTTTGATGTTTCATCCTGGCAAGTGGCTTTTTCTTAGCAATTTGTCCATAGGACCTACCCTACCCTCTCTCAGTTCAATGTTGACACCAGAAAGGATAATTTTTTGGTAGCTTAATATTGGTTTTGGCAATATTTACCTCTTAGGATGTTGCCCTTCTCGATGTTTGTCTCTACAACTCTAATTTTGCTTTGCTATAGTATCCTCATGGAAGTGAGCTCTTACAGGCTTTTTAGAAACTCAACTAACCATCCAGAGGTCCCAGTCTTGAACATTTAAAGTCACAAGCCCCTATTGTGACTGCATATAATGCTCTTATAGCATTATATTTACTTCAAATAGAATAGATGGATCCCCAAACGTGTACGTAAAAGTTATCTATTGTGGATTCTCGCAATGTTTCAGTCTTTTCCCTTTATGAAATTATATTAAGGCATGCCACACCCATTTAAGAAATATCCTCGAGTGCATCGCCTTCCATCTTGGCTACCCCCCGAATGTTCTGTTTTACTAAATCTTGGATGAGGGCCCTATAAACTCCTCCAGCTCTTTTGGATTTACACAACAGAAGATTATGTGGTGCAGGGTTACTCTCCTTGGCATTATGCTACTAGGACCTTGAAGCCGGAAACTCAAAGAGAACTGTAATATTTTGACCTTCTCCTAGTTAGCCAAGTTCTCCACTCTATGAACCTTCTTTTACTCACCTTCCAATAGTCGAAGGGGCAACCAACTTTATAAAACACATTTACAATCTTATGAATGACTCTTGGGACCAGCCTGTTCGAGGAGGTTCTTATAGCTCATGTTTAGGAAGATAGGCAGACCCTACCACAAATTTACCATGCAAAAATTCCAGCATTGTCTGTTTCACTCATATCTGTATGCTAAAGGCTATTGTTTTAGTTATTTGTCGACTTCAATGCCTGGAGATCTTGCATTGTAGATTGTGTTCTCCAATACTACTTGTCGATTCTGTCGACTTGATACATTGTTGTTGAGATCTTCAATACGCTCTCACAAAAGTTGTTTTACTTTTCAGCATCTGTTCTGCCCGATAACCTTCGTTCAACACACCAACTCACATGTGTGTTGGGCCAGTTAGCCTACATTGGCGTCTCATCGAGCTTATTCAACTAGCAAGTCTTAGGACTTTAATTTTATACCCTTTTGTTGACCTTTTCCTTAAAATTTGCATTTATTGCCAATATTTGATGCAATATCACTTAAGGATTGATTTGAGAAGCTTTGTAATAAATACTGTATTGGTGATTATTTAAGGAACCCTTTTTCTATGATGAATCTTTGTGATATTTTCCAACAATATCTCTGATGTTACTCTATAATGTATTTCGGACAAAGCCCCTTTGTATGGAATTCGAGTGGGTGAGAGCTCTAAATATTGATTCTCTCTCTACTTCAAACTTATTCATGTCCTCATTTTTATTACTTTCTTGGCATTATATTGGAGATTTATTGCCTTGCATGTGTAAATTGGCTTATGATGAACCAAGTTCTCTACCTTAATAAATAGAATTATAAGATTTGATCTTTTACTCTAAAATGTAATTAACTAAAATCAACCTAATATTGAAATAAGAATGGTTTCTTGACCATTCTCGGGCCAATTGTTTAAAATTTAATGAGTCTGCCTTATCTTAGTTGTAACAAAATAGTGGTTTAACATCCGACTAATCATTTTCGATATAGCTATGCCAATTATCATCAAAAGTTTTGTTGGCTCATTTTCATCTGAACCTTCATATAGTTAAGGTTAACACTGCGGTCGATAACAAAATAGAATTCATCACTTAAATGTCCCTCGTATGCATGTAGCTATAAGGTTTAATTTCACATCAATCTTTATGCATCATTTAGATTTGATAACATTAGTTTTTAAAATTTACTTAGATTCGTTACACTGATCTAGGAAAGACCGGCCCAGCCAAGCCGACTAGTTGCCTAGGAAGATTCCAGTTTGTGGGTCTTTAAAGCCATAATCATGCATCCAAGGAGAGGAATTGGGGGGGGGTTTGGTTTTTTTTTTTTTGTTTGCTCATAGCGGCGTCTAGGGTTTGTGGAGAGTCGATTCACTTTGAATTGTACATTACCCTTGTATCTTGTTTGTTTGCTTGGATACTTGTAAAATTAGCTCGGATCTAGGTTTTTCAGTTGATTTCTTGCTATTATTATTTGTTTTTGTCTCTGGGGCGTATCAATTTGGTATATGAGCACGAACTTGGAGAGATGACAACAAGAAAAGTTGATACTTTGGAGGAGAGATTGGAAGGAGAAGTAGGGCAACTTAAATCCGATATACTGGAAAGGTTCTCAACCATAGATGAAAGGTTTTCCTCCATAGAAAATCAATTTGAGGTTGTGGAGGAGATGTTGAGCAAGTTTATTGAGATGCAATCTAAAGTCAATCTTTAGCCAAATTGAAAGGGAAAGAAATTGAACGAGAGGAACATGAGAAAGAGACCATCCACCATGAAGAACTTCCTCCGATAACTCTGATCAAGATTTCTGAGGAAGGGGGTTTTGTCGAAACATATAGGCGTGGTTATGAAAGGGGTTGGGAGGAGCATGAAGATTGGAGGAGGGAAACCAGATGGGGGTATGGCTATGGTTGTAGGAAGAAGTTTCATCCCAAGTACATGGGGGGAAACACTAGAGAGAGGAAAATTAGGAGTTGATGCTAGGGTAATGAAGTTGAGATGCCGATCTTCGAAGGGGAAGACGCGCATGGATTTGTGTATCGGGTAAAACAATACTTTGTGGTGAATAGGCTAATGCGGAGGAGAGGAAATTGAGGAGGTAATGCTAGGGTGAGATAGTTAAAGATGTTGATTTTTGAAGGAGAAGACTGTCGACACTAAAAAGAGAGGTTTGGGGGTGTCGCCAGTAAGAAGCTGTCGGCAGCCGGAATTGAAATCCCATCGCCCCCTTCGGAAGGACGTTTTAATTTACGTATATATA